TGTCATGTCTTTAATGTACGAGAATCGTGGGGGATATCTTAAATGTGTGTCGTGTCTTTAATGCACGTGAAACGTGGGAGATATCTTTGATGTGTGTCATGTCTTTAATGTACGAGAATCGTGGGGGATATCTTTAATGTGTGTCGTGTCTTTAATGCACGTGAAACGTGGGAGATATCTTTGATGTGTGTCATGTCTTTAATGTACGAGAATCGTGGGGGATATCTTTAATGTGTGTCGTGTCTTTAATGTACGTCAAATGTGGGGGATATCTTTGATGTGTGTCGTTTCTTTAATGTACGTCAAACGTCGGCGGATATCTTTAATGTGTGTCATGTCTTTAATGTTCGACAGACGTGGGGGGATATCTGTTATGTGGTGAGCAACGTAAGTAGATAAGTTATCAGTAGGCATACCGCAATTAGAAATAATAGGACGACCAGGATTTTTTTTTTGGTAATGTGTAAAAGCGACCTTGAACTAGGTGTTTAGGTGAAAGGAACTGTAACCTTTCACGACTGGTGTGTTGGTTTTTCTGTAAACTACATAGCATATCTTCAACAGTTTTAACAAATTGTTGTGTGGGGTCCATATCTACCTTTTTATAGTGGTTTGTGTCGTTAAGTTGTCGGTTGATGTAGTCGGACTTATCTTGAATGACAAAAGTACCGCCTTTATCAGCTGGTTTAATAATAATAACCTCATTTTTATGTTTCAGTGAAATTATCGCAGTATTTTGACTTTAGGAAAGATTGTTACGTATATTAAGTCAGATTTAATGGCTTGAATTACTTCATTTTGAACTGCAGTAATAAAACTTTCTAGATATGATTTCCTGTTGGCTGAGGGTAACCAGAAGGATATTTCTTTAAACTGTGAGTCGAAAGTATTGTTATGACAGCGGAAGTCGCGTGACGTTGGGAACATGAACGCTGGAGTTTCTAGAATTATCGGGGAATCCCGCGAATGTCCGAGTGTTTGCTAGACGCCTTCTTTTTTTAGTATATAAGCCTGGCAAAGAAAGCCAGCGAGATAGATAGATAGATTGAAGAGATAAATAATTGAGTCAAGCAAACAGTAAGCACTATAAGTAATGTGTGTGAATCTCTGAGATTTATAGCATGTGATATAAAGGTTGTTAAGTTTAGAGTGACTGTGCAAATTCTGTGTATTACAAAGTTGTATCGAAAAAGAATAAACTAGTTTTAATTAAGAAAGCACTTGTATCACCGAAGTTCCATGGGAAGAATTTATACCGGAAATTAACAAATGAGCAGAGATTTCTTTCAGTAGTTTGATTGTGAAAATTATCATTAAGGAACATAAATAAACAATTTTAAAAGTAAAATTAAACTGAAACTTCTCTGATGATCAAAACAATTTTATTAAACATTCTCAAGATGAAATTTGGATTTTTTATTTCAACTGATAAAAAATTTATTATTATGGTGTACTTTTCAAAATTAAGTTACAACTTTGTGACGTATCATAATACTCAGGCTCTCGCTTCGGAATGTTACACATGTGGGTGGAATTGTAACAGCAGCCATTCCTGTTAGTTGAACAGGTAATTCTCGGATGGATTGAACAGTGTCAGTGTCTGTCATATAGAGTTCATTTCGATTGATAGCGCTCAGTTCATGACTGTTGATTCCTCCAATGAGATACAGACATGATTCTAAAAAAGAACATTAATATTTGAGTTTTGTATTTATTAACAAATACTTATATATAGAAATATACATCATATTCACGGTTGAAAGAATGTAACACTTGGCAAGTTCAGTGGTAAAAATATTCTACCATAGGTGAAATCAAAGAAGAATCTGAAAATGAGAGGAGAATCTAATTTTACGTATGGAAATTATATTAATTGGATACTACAATAAGTACTAAAACTAGCACTTGTGCTGGTTACTACATGGTAATATTAAATAAAGATTTACATACACTATTGCAGTTACCAGATCTAGCTAGTAACACTATATGGCATTATTAAATAAAGATTTATATACCTGTAACTCACTACTGCAGTTACCAGATCTAGCTAGTATCACTATATGGCATTATTAAATAAAGATTTACATACACTACTGCAGTTACCAGATCTAGCTAGTAACACTATATGGTATTATTAAATAAAGATTTATATACCTGTAACTCACTACTGCAGTTACCAGATCTAGCTAGTATCTCTATATGGCATTATTAAATAAAGATTTATATACCTGTAACTCACTACTGCAGTTACCAGATCTAGCTAGTATCTCTATATGGCATTATTAAATAAAGATTTATATACCTGTAACTCACTACTGCAGTTACCAGATCTAGCTAGTATCACTATATGGCATTATTAAATAAAGATTTACATACACTATTGCAGTAACCAGATCTAGTTAGTATCACTATATGGTATTATTAAATAAAGATTTATATACCTGTAACTCACTACTGCAGTTACCAGATATAGCTAATATCACTATATTGCATTATTAAATAAAGATTTACATACCTGTAACTCACTACCGCAGTAACCAGATTTAGCTTGTATTACTATATGGTATTATTGAATAAAGATTTACATACATGTAACTCATTACTGCAGTAACCAGATCTAGCTAGTATTACTATATGGTATTGTTACGACAGCGGAAGTCACGTGACTGTGGTAACACGTCATGAGATTCTTGAAGGATCTTGACGTTTCCGGGCAACTCTAGTCTTTTCTAGGCGCCCTCTTTGTTGTATATAAGCCCGGCAAACAAAGCGGAGAGAGATTTGCAGATAGACAGACACAGAGACAGATAATTGAGTCAAGCGAGCGGTAGTGACCATAAGTAAAGGCGTGAATCGTTGTGAATTATAGCGTGTGTTTAAGTTAAACTGACTGTGGAAATTAAGTGTATTGCAAAGTTGTATTGAGAAAGAATAAACTAGTCTTATTTAAGAAAGGACTTGTATCGCTGAAGTTCCTCGGGAAGAATTTATACTGGAAATTAACAAACGAACAGAGACGTAACAAATTTGTGCCAGATGTGGGATTGAAAAGGTAAAAAAGAAAATAAAAAGAATGTGGAAATGAGAAGTGGCAAATCAAACTACAGCTTAGCAGAGCTGATGGCAGCAATACAAGAATAGCAAAAGAAACAAGAAGCATGAGAAAAGAAACAAGAAGAGAGATTACATCAGTTGTTGGAGGAAAAAGAAAAGAAACAAGAAGAGAGATTACAGCAGTTGTTGTAGGATAAAGAAAAGAAACAAGGAGAACGAGAAAAGAAACAAAAAGAGAGACAACAGCAGTGACAGCGCGAACAGCAAAATAAACAAGGGTAATTACAGCAGTTGTTGGAGGAAAAAAGAAAAGAAACAAGAAGAGAGACTACAGCAGTGGTTGGAGGAAGAAAGTCTCCAACAGTTGAGAGAAAGCCAGCATACACAAATGGAAAAGATGAGTAAATTTCAAAGTGAATTAAATACATTAAAGGACGATTTATTGTCTTTTACACAAGGAGGATATATTAACCATGGGCCTAATCAGCCCCAGACAACAGGAAGCCCCTTCCAGACCCAACGGTTAAACCCTAATGCAGACATCTTCAGTCCTGCCAGAAGTCACATTCCAGACATGAGTGTCAGCAATAGGGTGATCTAGTATGAAGGAAGCCACAGGAATTCGATGGTAAGGCACCATGCGAAGCATATAGAGTACAGTTTGAGCTCCTGGCAGAAATGAATGGATGAACAGAAGTGAAGAAAGCAATATATCTGGCAACGAGCCTGAAGGGACAACCACTGGAAATACTTGGACAGTTGTCAGCAGATGACAGGCACAACTACAGAGCATTGGTAGCTGCTCTAGAACTCATGTATGGAGCTCAAAATCAGTCCGAAGTCTACAGGGCTAGGTTAACGACTAGAGTCCGTGCTAAAGAAAGCCTGCAAGAGCTGTCACAGGATTTGGAAAGTATGGCACACAAGGCCTACTCAACTGCACCACCCAATGTCCTAGAGCTGTTGCTAAGGGATCAGTTTGTAGACGCCTTAGACAGTCCACAACTGAGAGTACAAGTGAAGCAAGCACACCCCTCTACTATACAAGATGCAG